GTAGGTGAAATTATGACATCGGAGGATGTCATGGTCTAGGTACGCACATGTCGTATCCTGGTCTACGAACACACATGTTGTGATGCAGCACGTGTAGTGTAGATCGATGGAGCAGCAAGCTTCGATGAGACGATAAGACTGTGCACACGCTCTCTTGAGCGCCATGATCATCCGTTCTAGAATCTCGGTCGTGTGCGGTGCAGCTTCGATGGCCCATGGATGTGCTGAAGCTGTGCAGCCCTGGCAGGGAATTTTGGCCGCAACTCATGCTTTTCCATGGAAAAGCGGTTATATGGGGATCGATTTTGATTCATCGATGCATAGCTTCGTCTTCTCAATGACGATATTGCGAGCATTCTGAGAGCAAGAAAACCGATGATAGCAAAACAAAAATCATATGTCATGAGGCTTGATCTGGATCCCTTCCTTGGGATATGACGGTGCAGCATGAAGCACGCCCTGGCAGAGCGTGCGAAACTCGGCATTTCGATCGCTCATCCCTGCCTCCAAAGCTTGCGTAAGAAAACTCGGCAGCTGAGATGCTTTGGAGAAGTACGATGTCTTGCCGTGCTTCGACCCTTGCACAGGTGCGTCTACTGCCTTGACAGTGTGTCCGTTTTTTTAATGGCATGGTCCTTAATGACTTAATGATTGGACTTTGAGTGTCAGTCTCCGGTGATCTCTGCACCGGAGTTATGGTTCACTGCGTAAATCTGTCGCCCATATATCGAATGGGCGGTGCTCCGATGCATGTTTCCAACGATGCATGAAGACATGTATCGCATAGCATCTCTAGACATGTTTGGTCAGTATATAATGAATCGCAGAAACGGCTTTGGATGTGTGTCTTGGAAATTGTAGAGACATATCTGGTAGTCGCGCACTCCCGAAATAAAAGTTCAATAGGTTATAGTAGATAATAGAAGTACAGATCGATCAGGTGAGGGTTAAGGAAATCCTGCCAGGCAGCCCGGGACCCACCCTTCTGTCCCAGACAACTCTTGTTTTCCAGCTCTTTGCGCCATGCCGAAAGTTCCAATGGATCAACACCGGCTTCAGAGCCTGAAGGACAAAATTGCAGTTCTCACAGGGCGGATAAGGCCGGGGTCTAGCGACATCTCTGGAGGCAGCTTGACTTCCGTTTGGCGCAAATTCTAAGATGCTGCCGGGTAGGTTCACTTGTACTTCTGGTGTTTATGTCTTTATAGATCAGTAAAGGATCGATTGTACGGGAAATGATGACGATGACGAGGAACAGGAGGATGGTGAGGATGATGTGGCAATTGTACCGGGGTACGTAATGAACGGTAAAGCAGATCTGATGCAGGCTAACCTCCCCCGAAGGATTTCTACAGTGAGAAGGCTTCGGATGCCTCCTTCGTGCACTCCCGCCGACGGCAGCAACGACATAGACTTGGCCTGGATGACAGAGATCCCCGGGTCGCTAGTCTGATACAGTAGGCTCCATGCCCAAATACTTATGATGGTAGGAGGTGTGTTTGCTATTGGTTCCTAGTCTTGACTATATATATATATATAAATAATATTCATTGTATGTATATAACGGTGATATTTCTAGATATCAAACAGATGACGGTTTATACAGCTTAGGAAGTAAATCCTAAGATATGGGCAGTATGTATACAATGCACTTATATATGTGTACATATAATGTATACATGTTACCACATGGTATTTTTAATTTGCACACATCTGTCTAGATATATGCATCGATTATATTATATTGTATTTTAAGTAAGATCGTACAAACGTAAATATAGATAAATAGTATGTATTTATATACGCATTGATATGTTATCTAAGTGTGTAGATACATATATACATATATATATATATATACGTATGAACGTTAACCTCGTGCAGCCTAGCCTCATATCATAGTATGCACAAGGACTGTGAAGATACTATCGGCTTTTGGCAGTTAAGACCCGTTCTCCTATATCTATATATTATATTAATTTAATCAGTATTAAATGCTCTAGTCTGTATAAGTGATCCTAGCTAGAATTTCTGAAGTAATAGCTAGTACTGCACTGTACTATCTTATATCATATGGTTCAACATGATCTGGTATAAAAAGGAACCGGCTATGCGCTAAGACTTATAATATATATATATATAATGCATATATATATAATGCATATATATATATATCATACAACATGATGATGTAATAACATATGCTATACATATATAACATGACATATATATATATATAAACATATATACATATATACATAAGCTCGGTAATTTATATATATACGTATACTATATATGTAAGTTGAGCACACATGTGTTTATAAAGGAATAGAACAGCAAGCAAAATACATACACAGGTATACATGTTTATTTTATATATACATGTGTACATGTATATATATATATATATGCTAATGCATAACATATATATATACATATATATATATATACATATATATATATATATATATGACACAAATTGCCAATACAATACCGTATCATGTAGTTGTAAACTCTGCTTGTAAGTATATATATTAGTGTATTTTTGTAATATGCAACACACATGCACTCAAACATATTAAAAGTATAATATATATATATATAGTTATAAGATACTCTATTCATTATTATGTTAATTATTATAATGCCAATGCATGATCTAAGACGAGTACAACTAATATATATATATATAATATCGAAAGAATTTATATCTCGATCCATGATATGCATAATTGCATCTAGTATATATATATATATACATATATCCATGCTCTGTGTGTCGGCTCGGATGCTATGTCGCCACACCATCAACACTAGTCAGGCTTGGCCAGGCTATCTTTTCATCTCCGTACGCCTACAACTAGTTAATGTATAGAATTCATGCATTATATATATATATATGCCCATGTGCATGTATAACATAAGTATATATATTTATATATATGTATATATGATGATGGCATTTGCGGTTAATCCCGATGGGCAGGTGATGTAAAAAAGGACATGGGCATAAACTTTCCAATTGAGGTAGGGATGACCCAGTGTTGTGGGATTGAAATCCTCGTTGAGGCCCTTTCTGTGTGCTTGCTTCTTGTTGCCTTAGTTGCCTCTGGCAGGTACCGAAGTTTTCCTTCCTGAACTTGAGAACGAACAAGATCGGAGCGCAGGAAGTCGCTGGGTGCAGCATCAGTTCAAGGATCTGTGTCATTATTGACATATTTCGCTTGTACATGTACTGTTTCGAACTGGCAATCGAGAGAAGTGCATTCTCAAAGTGCTTAGACACCTCCTATAGCTCTCAAACATCGTCTGTATCGCATATTCAGGTTGAAGAGAAAAACAACTTCGAGTTTGCCCTGGATTTCCTGGCGTGCTTCACCACCAAGCCACCCCAGTTTAAAGAGGTTCAGGACTGTTGCACTCCGGAGTTCGGAATCGGGAGGGGAGAACCCATGGATAATATATATATATATATATATTATATATATATATACATATGCATACATACATACATATGTACACACACTATTATATGCACTGATACACTGTATAAGACTGGTAATACTATATATGTGTATAATTGCTTACGTTATATACCCAGAGAGACATATACAGATTAAGCTTGAATTCATCAGAAGATTTTAATTTTAAATATGACATTAGTTAGTACATCGGCTTCCTGTATATGAGAGTTTGGGTCTACAATATAAATCCGACAGGAAGCGCTTATGTTCACGAGCATCATGTACAACCTCAATCCCCAGTTCAAGGAGAGCTGGGAACACGAGGCTGGCAGTTGCCCGATGTCTTGATGAAATGTTGCCTGAGACAGTACAATGGACCTTATGCTGTGCGTAGCAAATACCAAAGACATCATCTTGGCTAGGTTTCCGCTGAGTTCCACATGGCATAGTGGGCTTGCCTGTGCCAGGCGTGGGCGAGGAAGGAAAGCCAGCTGCACCTCGCGGTGAGGTCGTACGTGCTACAAAGATTCCAAAGGAATCGTGGTGTCAGGCAGGTTTGACGTGGGAGCACATGCTTGGAGTTGCAAGAGATTACAGGGCATGTATGCGTCGACTTGATGTTGCGGGGACATTTTGCACTTAGAGTGGCCATGCGTCTGCTGTATGGTTGATCTATGACAATGGCCTTATTTGCAGGAAAAGCCATCCCCGTGCCGAGCAGCTGAAGGAAGTTGTGAGGAGATGTCTCGAGGCTCGCAAGTCCTTGTTGCTGCTGGTCTAGCATGTTGTTTCAAATATATATATATATATGTATACACATGTCTACACATAATTGCTGTGCAATGCAACTGTACTATGTACTCATGAGCTCCGTTACTCATTACGCACTTGTAAGCTTTGCAAGAACACAGTGGCCTGTGTATGCATAGGCTCATGATGAAAGGGGTTGAACACAAACTACTTCATTTATGATCGATGATTGTATGATGTGTACACGTATATACATGTTTTGTGAAATATAAATAAATAAATAGATAAATATATATATATATATATAATATATATATATATATGTATAGTATATAGATATGTATAGTATATATACCGATATGTATATATATATATATAAATATATATATATATACATATGCATATACATGTGTATGTTGTTTTACATAACGCACATGTACGTACATCAACCTTATACACACATATATATATACACATGAAGACAGAGACAGAGAGTACGAAAAGTTATACTTTAGTTTTCCGTCTGCAATGTATATATATATATATATATGCGTATACACTATATCTTACAGAGCATGTGAAGCACATGCATGTTAAATAAATTATTTTATTACCATCTATATATATATATATATAAAATACCAATTATATTATATATATATATATATTATTCTATGAATTATTCTATATGTGTATATACTTCCTTAGCATGTGTACGTGCATATTTTAGCAATTAACAAGTAAGCCTTAGGCAGCACGGTTTCTGTGATCCCATTGCATACGCAGGCCTCCGGCATGCTCCTGCCCAACGGCAAGAAGCGCCCGACCCGTGGACCAGCAGCGAAGAAGCAAAGGTTGGCCGAGCAGGTTGGACAACAGGGGGAGCAGCCGATGTTTAGGTCTCATGTGGCCTTGTTTGCCTCGTGGTATCCGTGTCAGATGATGTACATGCATACTTTATACGATATATATTCTGTATATCATGTACTCTCATAATTATACTATATACACATATAACTAATACATAATATATATATATATATATATGTGTAGGCAAATATATATAATTATACATAAAGAATACATGCAACATAAAAATGCTTCTTCTCGCTCCTGGTTCATTCCCTGAAGGCCACTGATGGAGGGAACGAGGGCAATGGACCGAGTGCCAAACCAGTCCTGACCCCATCCGAACTCGCTGCTGTCGCTGCTGCCCTCCAGAGCAGCTCGGACAGCGAAGACCAAGAAGAAGGGGCAGAAGAGGAGACTTGCACACGTGACGAATGCGTGATGCCCGTGGACCTTCACGAGCCTTTTGGATGGCATGAATCAGAGATTCCTCCTCCTCCTCCCATTCTGAAGGCCCAGGGTCAAGTGACAGAGGGATTGCCGAAAAGGAGATTGCCACCACCGAAGACAAAGGCTTCGGTGGCTGCTGCGCCGAGTGAGCCTGCGATTGCAGAGTCGCAGGATGATGATGCCTACTGTGGCCCTGAAGATGTGCCACCGCCCACTGAGGATGTAAGCAGTGCCAGTGGGGAGGAGGGTGGCAGGGGGCAGAAGGCCTCTGCGAAGGCAGGGTTCAGTGCCAGTGTACATGAATTCATAGATGATATATTGCTTTATATTTATTTTAATATACATGTGCATATATATTAAGAGGTTGTGTGAAAACAACATATATATATATATATATTTATTATATTAATTTGTAAACAGTTTCATTTATTTATGTATCTATCCCGGTATTCTTGCATGATACGATAGTAATCACAATAATTAGGGTATATGGGTTTTGTACTATATATATATATATAATTAATGTATATATCTATAAAGGCTACTAAATGAAAAAAGTAGAATGCTGTATATATTTATATAACTGCATATGCATGCATATATATATATATATATGTATATATATATATACATACGGGTATGTACACACATGTATATATATATATATATACATATGCAATTCCAGAGCTGTGTGTAAGTATTGATTAATGCACCCGTCGATTGAATAACAAAGACACGTATACAGAGTATACCATCACCGTCCGGTTAACTAGGTACTTAAGGTTACTGGTTGCCATACAAAATAAGTACTTGCTTCCTATTACTGTTATGTCTATCGTCCCTGCTTTGTATATATATATATATGTATTGTACAATATATATATATATATATATATATATATTTGCTATTCTGTGCTGTCCAATTGGTATATATACATTGGGGTAGAGGATTTGATTCAGGTCATGTGTCTTTGTTCCCGGGTTGTTATACACTTAGAAGAGCTTTTTGGTGTGTTAACTGGTTTCTGATCTCCAGTATTTAGGTGCCGAGACATTGGTAGTATTATTGAAGCAGTACCAAATAGGCTTTTGAATCATACTGCATGTTTATATATATATATATATATTATATAGATTGCTGCACAACTTTCTTTAACTTGAGTGGGTTGTGAATATGACCAGCACCATGCATGCCTTCGCTGTGCTATGGCCATGTAAAAGTTTATTCGCGCAACCTCATTTTTTGGTAATACCCTCCTAGGTACAGGATGCATTGCATTGTCGACTCTTCCAGACGATAAAACAAATTTCATACCCCAGGTTCACATTTCAGCATGTATACGTATGACTTAGGAATGTCAGTCAAAGTCTTATAGTACTTTCGAAGTTGTACAGTATATATATATATATAATATTAATTAGGAACGAGAAATACAGAAATTGTCTTCTGCAATATAACATGTGCAGTGTGTATATATCTTTATATATATAGTCTAATGCAATAAACAATGTATATTTATATATATGTATATATATATATGCATGTATATGCCTGTACACTTGTCTTTTATGTGCAGGAAAGGCAGCCGCTGGTGCCTGAGATCCCGGTCCTCTCTGTCAATCAAGAGGCAGCTGCCGATCAATTGCTGCAGTCCGAAGCTTTGGGAGATGAAGATCTACTGAAAGTGACTGGGTGCATTCCGAAGCGGGTCAGTCCGGAGGGTTTAAGTGTCGATCCAAGCATCATGCTGTGTGTAGCATCCCAAGGCTCAAGCTGTGCTGCGCAAAAGAGGCCGGGAAGCCAAAGTTCTGGAGGAGGATCCCGACAGGTTTTGGAGGGAGCAACAGGAGGAGGATGATGAAAAAAAAACAAAAAAAACACGTGGTCGAGGCCGAGGCCGAGGGCGGGGCAGAGGCAAAGCCGGCTCCGCAGCAGAGACAGCTCCACCACGTCGTGCCGCAGAGGTTGCGACAAAGGAGCCAGCGACTGGCCCCGTAGTGAAGCCGAAGCGTTCAGGTTCCAAGAAGCTCCTCCGCTCCAAGTCGAGGCGGCGACAAGTCTTGCAGAGCAAGAAAAGCATGCGGGGCCAACTTGCTATGGACAGGCAGGAGACCGAGGCATGGGGATGCGAGGAACAGGAGGAAGAACCGAAAGAAGACGTTGCTCTTCAAGAAGAAGTTGATGCGGAGTCTCCGGAGGGCGGCAAGCCGGCGGCAGCCACTCCGGATGGTGACCGAACCAACATCAAGGATTCTCTTGCTTATTTTAGTTTTCACACTCCTTAATAATAACAAGGTGGAAATACAAGACATAGATCGAATATATACCATGCACACATGCACACATACTTCGTATATTGCTTATTTTCTCAATATAAATATTGTATATATATATATATATGCATATATGTATATAGACACACGTGTATTTTATGTTTGGTGTAAAGGACTATGACTGTTTTTGAGTGTATATATATAATATATATATATATATACATACAGACTAAACATCTGATGACTAGTGGCTGCATGTACCTTCTGCATGCATGTACGTATGTAGGCATATATATATATATATACTCATTATAATATTATATTATATTATATT